AAAATGTGCCACCGAAACTTAAGAGTAAGTTCTATAGAGTAGTGGTCAGACCAACGATGTTGTATAGGGCAGAGTGTTGGCCAGTCAAGATCGCTCATATCCAGAAGATGAAGGTAGCAGAGATGAGGATGTTGAGATGGATGTGCGGGCACACTAGTTTAGATAGGATCAGAAATAAGGTTATTCGCAACAAGGTGGGCTTGGCCCCTATTGAGGACAAGATGCGGGAAGTACGACTTAGGTGGTTTGGTCATGTGAGCAGGAGGAGCACAGATGCCCCGATGAGGAGGTGTGAGAGATTGACATTGGAGGGTCTACGGAGAGGTAGAGGTAGGCCAAAGAAGAGGTAGAGAGAGGTGATTAGGCAAGACATGGCGCAGTTTCAGCTGACCGAGGACATGACCCTTGATAGGAAGGTATGGAGGTCGAGTATTAGGGTAGTAGAGTAGGTAGTTTAGGGTGTTCATAACAGTAGTATTGGCAGGCAGTCTCGCTTTCTGTTGGTAGTAGGTTTTTATGACTAACCTTTATTTTCTTTCATTGTTGATCACCTTACTATCTTGTTATTTTTATTCTGCTTTTATATGGCTTTTTAGTATTGTCCCTTCTTGTCTATATTTTTATTAATGTGGTACTTTTTCTTTTCTGAGTCGAGGATATATTGGAAACAACCTTTCTATCCTCATAAGGTAGGGGTAAGATATGCGTACACACTACCCTCCCCAGACCTCACGGTGTGAGATAATTCTGGGTATGTTATTATTTTCTTGTCTATATTATGGAGGACTGCACTTATGGCAAAATTGTAAAAATATTTCCGGGAGCAAGTTGGGGGCAATATCTCAATCTTTTGAGTGAAATATTTGTAATGTGTGTGGTAGTCAATGTGGCCATTGGGATTATTGTCCTAATTATTTTTATCCTTTTTCGAGCTCTTATTATGATTTTTCTAATAATATTTGTGAATTTGATAGGAGCAATGAAGTAGGGGATGTTGAGCGTGCTTCTTGTATTATGGACATGGTGAGGCAAGTAGCTGAGCAACGAGATGAAAATCAAAAAGCTATAAAAAGAATTAGTGCAGCAATCACGAGAATGAATGCCAAGGTGGAGGAATTAGATGAAAAGAGCGAGTTCTCATAAGAAGATAACTTGAAGAAGCAGATATAGTAAGCCAATCTTGGCTATAGGAACAAGCTCAATTGATGAAATTTCATGAGTTTCTCCGTAATGGTCTTTCAAAAATGGCAAAACAGCTGATAGAAGGAAGAACTGAGCTAAGGCAAGAGATAGACCAATTTGGCTCAAATACCCATGACCTGCAGACTCAATTGAATAAAAAGGTTGAGGCGTCTGATGCTCAACAACCAATTGTTATAGATACTGGCCAGCTTGTGGAGCAGAAAAGGAGTTCCAACTATTCCACCAAATTATTATTGATGATGCCAAGGTTGAGGATGTGTGCAAAAGTGAGGATGTCAAAAGTGAAACGATTTTAGAGTTGGAGCGTATTGGACCTCATTTTAACCACTTTTCAATATTATGTTGGGATGATGACATGGGAATCGATCCTTTCGGGCCTATGAAGGAGTCAATGGATGAGGAACAAAGTGCATACACTCTAAAATTTGCGATACCAAGGAGACAAAATGATATTCTTCACTTAAAGGACAAGAAGTGCAAAATGCGACATTATTTGCTTGGTTCTTTTGTATTCATAGCATCACCCCAGAACCATAATTTCAAGCTTGACTCAAATTTGGGGATACAATTTATATCTTCGAGGTGGAAGAAAAAGTGGTAAAGTTGGTGTAAGTCGGGCCACTACTATAAATCACGCGTTTGTTGGGAGGCAACCCATCATGTATTTTTTTTTACGTTTTATTTTGTTTTTGTTTGCAGATTAGGGGAAGTCTGAGTACCCGAAGTTGAAGTTGAGAAGCATGTTTAAGCTTAAGTGTGGGGTCGTCCCGACCCAAAATATTGAAGATCATATTGCTAGCTACCCTAGAGGGTCTCAGGGAGTATTTCTTATCCTTGTTTTAATATTTTTCTTTGTGATCATGCATCGAGGGCTATGCATAACATAAGTGTGGGTGGGGGAATTACTTTCTGAATGTAATTGTATAAAAAAATCGTTATTTTTTAAACCCGTAGCTAGAAGTAGTTTAGTTTAGAGTAGTTTCTTCTTCTTAAAAAAAAAAGGAAAATTCTTTATTTTCCGCTAGCTTTATATACAAGTAATTTTCTAATTCTATTTCCTAATTGGCAAGTAGGTACTCTTAGTTTTTTGAATAATCCTTGCTGCAAAGTTTGGAAAATGCAAAACTCCGTACCTCCTTAGGGCAGTACAACTATTTTGGGACAACAGAAATTGCAAATTTGATTGCTATTGAGAGAGCGTACAATGCTCTTCTACCTTCAGATACGGATATTCGTCATTTGGTCATGGACAATAATTTTGGAATTTGGAGTAGTGCAGCCGTTTATGAAATTGAAAATGGAAAAGAGCACTGAAATTTCTCAATTTACAGTTTAGTTCCAGTATTTGAATCTTTTTCTTTTTGTCCTCGTTTGGTTTTGTTGAAGGTTGTTATCCTTGCCAGCAAGGGATCTCCCAAATCTATATGTAATGAGTTGCTCTCTCATTTGGGATATATGATAAATGAAAACCCATAATTCCTCTCTTCTTCCTCTTCTTCCTTTGTTCTTTCTTTTCTTTTTCTCTCTTCTATTGCTTGCTCAGCTTAATTCTGATAACAAGTTGGTATCAGAATTACCCTTCTTGTCGGACCAAACCCATGGCTACAGCTCAAAGATGGAATGGGCCCAAACACAGCTGAAAGATATAGAGCTTTTGACAAAGTTAGCCGCTCGGCAAAAACTATAAACAGCCGCCTAGCCCACAATTGCATATTACAACTTGTAACCAAAAATAAATAAATTATGTTAACTAGCATATATGTGCTGCACGCCCTCCCTAGTCACCAAAGTCCAAAATTTGGCGATGGATCGCCACTTCTCTAGCATTCATTTATTGATTCTCCTTCTTGCACTAAGCAATTTCTTCTATCGGATTGTCGTGTCCGTTGGGAAAGTTTCGAGTGTACTTTTTTTTTTTTTGTGAAATTGAAGAAATCATGAGTTTCGCAAAGAAAGACTACGAGTTTCTGAAGGAGATCGGAATTGGCCCTAAAAATCTAGGTTGTTATGTCAATGGCACCTGGAAAGCTAGTGGCTCCGTCATCTCCACTGTTAATCCCGCCAACAATCAGGATCTTAATTTTTAACGATTTTAAGTTTTTTTTTAATATTTAAATTGTACTAGTGGTTAATTTAAAGCTATTTTTGTGGATACAGACTATTGTTGAAGTTGTAGAAGCTTCTGCCCAAGATTATGAGGAAGGCATGCAAGCTTGCTCTGAAGCAGCAAAGATAATTTGGTTCAAAATTCACCTGCTAAAGTAACATTTATGATCTTGATGAGGGAGGTTTTATTCTTCTTAGTTTCTGCCGCCAGAAAGGATCCTAGAAATCCTTATCCCTGTAACCTCTTTCTTTTGTGTATTATTAAGGAACAATTGTAGTTTGATTGAGAACAAATATCTGGTATACAATTTTAAATAATTTAATTTCAGGCCCACCATTAGTAAATATTTACATGGATATTTATGTATTTCTTTTGGTGAAAATAGATTTAAATATTGGTATATTACAAAATATATACAAAATAGACTATCACTATACAAAAATTATATAAAATAGACTGTCAATATACAATTTATATACAATAGACTGTCACTTTACAAAATATATACAAATAGACTGTCATTATACAAAAAATATACTAAATAGACTGTTACTATACAAAATAGACTGTCACTATACAAAAAATATACTAAATAGACTGTCACTATACAATGTATATACAATAGACGGTCACTATAAAAAAATATATACAAAATAGACTGTTACTATACAAAATATATACTTAATAGACCGTTATTATACAAAATATATACAAAATAGACTGTTACTATACAAAACATATACAAAATAGATATATCGAGCTATTAGATGTAATATGTTTGGGCCGGAGGGATATTTCATGTCAATGGAAAAAAATATGGGTTATTAAAATTTTAAGGGGCTATAGGGTAATTTACCCAAAGATATATTTTGAAACTCAACGTCTGGTGGTGATGTCTGGACAAATGTGATCTAACTATTAATTCATAAGCATTTCAACCCCTCTAGAGTCTTGAACACTGGATCTAATTCTGGAAAAGACTAATAAGGTTTGGTTCTTATACAATATAGTCTAAATATGCTTCCCCTTACTGGTATTTCAGAAATAAGGCTTGAGGCTTCTTTGCATGAGCACTACCATTTTGATCTATTTCCTTTACTCCACCGTGAGAGTTAGTGGTGGCTAAATGGATTTAAAAAATAGTTATCCACTCATATTATTCATTCATAAAAAATGGATTGGATAATGAAAATTTTAAAAACGGGTTAAATATGGATAAGAACCATATTATCCACTTAAAAAATGGATAACTAATGAGTTTAACTTTAACATTACTCAAGTTTGGGAGACTAGAAATTCTCCCAAAAGTAATCATATTCAAGAAACCATGGATTATATGGATATTCATATTATCCGTCGGTTAACCCGTCTTTTATCCGTATTAAGTATGTATCGGGCCAGATAATTTATCCGTTTTTGCATTACCCGTTTTCGACCCGTCCCATATCCAACCCTGTTGGGTGACACCGTTTGGTGTTATAGACCACATAAGGGAAAAAAACTGTCTCCATCAATTTTCACTTCTGAATTCCGTTCAACCTTTGGCTGACTTAAATTTTGAGCGAAAAATGTCTTAGATCTACTTTACCTTTCCGTCTACACCCAAACAAACCAGTTTAACCTTTCCCTTCTTATCAATTTTGCCCATTTTCCTGCTCCAAATAAACATGCACCAGAAAAGTTAAAATCATTCAGGGTAATATTATCGGAATCCATGATTAGCTAAGCGCAGAGTAGATAAGCAAAAGAGTTTCTAGAGATCAAGGACCAATTCAGTACTTATACCTATAGCAACTTTAAGAGATCTAACAAAACTAAGCTTTTTGATTTCTTCTCTTAGTACAAGTCTAAAAGTATAACTTATGCATTGAGCATTCAGAAACTATAACTTCAAACGTACTCTACTTTCCACCTAAGTTTACAACTATCTATTTCTCGTACTGCACCTATTTCAAAACAACAGCTGCATTTCTGAGAGCCAAATACCTCTGAACATAGTCACTAGGAAGCGATCTTATTATCTTGAAAACCTCAGTGTTAGCATAACGGAGTTTAGTTCTTGGGTCAAAATATGGTGCCTGCATGTCAAACATAAGAATATTTTACCATCCAAAAACATTTGTGCTGGAAAATTATTTTTGATGGCATAAAGGACTATAAGAATGCACACAACCCCTATTCAGTGAGAGGATATGACAGTAAGACAGCACAGGACAGCAAGCAGAAATTTAGACCATATCATACAAGGCACTCTGGGGCAAAGGTACCTCGAATCCTGTTACGTCGCATATCTTTTTGCATGGATGCATAGAAGGTGGTGATTCAATGTTAACATCTACAGGGATTGAGCAAACAAAGTCAAAACTTTGACATATTCATTAAGCTACGAATGATTGAAAGGAATATCTGCAAAATAATGTCCCTACACTGGGAAACAAATAGACTGTTGCTCATGAAAGCATATTTTGAACGTTCAACTTGTATGATGATTGATGATAACAGTTCAGCATATAAACACGAAAGATATCATTTCCCCATCTGCAATTTAATTCAAAATAAAATAGACTGTTCTTTAATCACTTTCTAACTGATAGTCAAAAGTCTGGGGGTTTAGACTGTTAGCAAATGTTTAGTGATGTTGCTGGAAAATGCAGCAAATTTCAAGGCAATCTTCATCAGGCTCGACAACGACAACAAAGGTGCAATGCCAGGAAAATGCATCCATGTTGTAGAGTTTTCCAGGGAATCATTATCTTCACAACCTAATTATTGATAGATCTTGGCAACCACATATGTTTTCTCAAATACTAGCAACCAAAAAAATGCCAGAGCACTGTCAGTCACAGCAATATCTGCCTGAAAGCTCTTCAAACAAATTGGGTAAGAGCTACTATACATGCTCAGGAAAAAGTGGTTGCAACGAGGAATAAAAACTGATGACATGATTTGCAGCTCAATATGCACTAGTAAAGAAAATTAACCAACAGCCAGCACTGAACAGGAAGTTCTTCAACTCCTAGGTCTTGCAGAAGTTGAAATGCAGTGTATTGAGTCAAGGAAATGATGCAATCAGTCAGAGGCGTTCATTATTCAATTATTCCAAAAAGTCAGATAGAAGCATTCATTCCAGCTGTAGTGGTTCTACTAATATGGTTTCGGTCAGTTTCTTTTGACATTTTTAAGAAACTTGGGTAGCAGGTTCAGTTGCGGTTCTCAAGAATAGGCCACTGAACTGAGCGAAAAACTTACTCTTATGTTCGCAACAACATAGTAAAAAGGAAAATACATATCATAGTGGAAAATAAAGTATAAATGGAGAAACATGGTTAGTGAGCATTCATATAGACGACCCACTTGTTCGGGACCGATGCCAAGTTGTTGTTGTTGTTGTTGTAGTGGAAATATGTCTATTTGCATCTGAGATTTGAAGGATCAAAATGTTTAAGGTTTTTCATTTTTGAATTAGAAATCAATTTGTTGTCCTTTTTTACTTTTTCCACTTGGTATAACAACTTACTTTTTAGAACTCAGTCGTGTACTCTCACCTTTTCACTCTTACCATCAGCCTTCCACTTTTTCACTACTGCACCAATTTAGGCGGCCTCTTCTCCTTCTCTCTTTTTTTTGACCATCTTCGGAAGAAGTAGAACCCTCTGTCTCTCTTTCACCCCCCCTCTCCCCGACCCCCTCTCCCTCTTTGATATAATGGTAGCACAGTTTGCAGTTGATAATATGCACAAGAACTCAAGAAATCAAGTTCGTATGTCACACCTAGTTGTGTTCTGTATCAAAGAAATACCATGTAAAGGAGTTCACAGATTCTTCTTTTCACAAATTTCAACTCTTTTTCAGTCTAATATCAAGCGTTTTTACGTCTTTCTTAATATATTCTCAAGTTGGTATCTGAGGAGAAAGAGTCCTCTATCTTCTTTTTTTCAAAGGTCTACCATTGGGTCAAGTAGAATCCTACATGAACTCCACAATGCATTCAAACCACTTTGAAATTTATATATAT